TTTTTTTTTGCGCTCCTTCTTTTTCAATGCAACGTCTCTCCCTTCCTCCTTCTTTTTTCTCTCTTTGTTTCCATTCACAAATCTTCATTCGCCCACTCTCTCACACACTCTCTCACACTTTTCTCTCCAATTTAAACAGACGGTCGCACTGCAGCAGCCGCACCTGTCACGTTCGCCTCTGTACTGCGAATACGTACGGCCAAATCACGCACACGTTCCGCAAAGAGTGTAAGAGCGTTGCGAAATATTTGTGAGGGATGTAATTGTCCAATACTCTCAATAGTAAATCGTATGCGTGTTTTATCTTTTTCAATAACGACCTTATTGGCGAAATCGGGGTGCACATCCTGTCGCAGACACTCACGGCACAATGTACAGTTCTCCACATCCACTACCTCCGCCTCTCCATTGGCGTTCACACCAAATACTCCTTTAGGACACACATGTCGCAGCTGATCTGCACACTCCCCACGCACAGGCTCACGTAAATGAATGCTGGTCTTCAGTTCATAGAAACACGCAGAGGCGGGCGACCACTTCGCGTGTACACCGCCGAGTCCCTTCACCGCTACTACCCGCAGCCGCAGCCGCTGTCCAGGGCCTAACTTCGTCAGCAGGATATCCGGGTGCACCAGAAAGACACGGTCATCATCATCATTATCATTATTATTATTATTATTTCCCTCTTGTTCTTCTTCATTGTCATTGTTTGCCTTATTGGCATTGTTGCTGGCGGCGGCCCACGCCTCTTGGCCCGGCAATGGCTTCCAGCGAAGATCACCACTGTACACACACGTTGTCTGCGCATCCCGACGACCCTCCGCGTTGAGTTCGAAGAGTAAAACACGACTAGCGTCCAGTGTGTCAAAGCCGGTGTGTTGACTCTCCGTTACATACATCATCTTCGCCACTGGCCCGGCAACGGGAACGAGTCCAATGCGGTGTGCGAGGAGTTCATCCGGCACCACGCTGTCATTCTCCTCAATGAGCACACGATCAAAGGCGAGCACTGGCACCTCTGTGAGAATAAGACGACGGAACATATTCGCCACCGGGGGGCTTATGTGATCCACATCAAATGTCATCGTCACCGCACGGCGGGTGGAGTCTGGCGGTGTTGCTGATCCCGCCGCATGTTCTTTCTTCACACGGCGAAAACGTTCCGGCAGAGTGGCCACCGCGGATTGAATGCGAATGTTTGATATCGCTGGTTTGTCTGGCAGCACCGTTGGCGGCGGTGGGACGGCTGAACTCCCGCTGTATGTATGCGGCGAGCTGTACGTTTCTGTGTGCTGCGCCTTATCGCTGCCTATCTGCACTTTGGCCCTGTGGCTCATTCGCTGCTCTTCTCTTTCCACTCCCTCACTCGTTCTTTACAATTGCTGAAGGGCAAGTGCAACAGAGAAGAAGGTGGGAAAAAAAAGAAGAAGAGAAAACGAAAAAAAAAAAAAAAAACAAGAGAGAAAAAAAAAAAAAAAACGCGCGCGGAAACACACACAGAAAGAGAGAAATATATTGAATTATATAAAAAAAAGAATTTTTTTTTTGCTTTAAACGATAAATTCATTTCAGAAGTACATTAATGTACTCCTACTAAACAAGAATCATGTATACCTAAAAAGTAAATGTAACACGACCACAGAAAGAAAAAAAAAGGAAAAAAAAAAAACATTATACATATAAGATTATATTTATATAATCTTATATATAATCTTATTCAGGAATAATCAAACGATTAAAATGTCCTCCCTTCCGTTGGACAAACATCTTTCTACTTACTCAAAGAACCAGAAGCACTTATACGAAGAATCTGACGCGTATACAGTAGAAAAAAAGAATACAAATAAAAAAAAAAAAAAACACAATACACATTTGCGCACAGAAGGATAAAAGAGAACTAATCATTACCTCATATTATTTCATAGATTTGGGTCTTTATTCTCTCCATTTAGTATAATTTCTGCTCAGATATGTATCAAAATAATATCTGATTTTCTAGAAGAATAGATAAAACTGGAACTAATATTTCAGTTTCTTTCTTTTCATTCATTTATCTATTCTTTTCTTACCCATACGATATGGGTATTTTTTTTTTTTTTTAATTTTAACGTTCCTTTGGTGACGATCTCTCCAGTAGTATGTGTATCGCGTTTCTTTTTTCTTTTCTTTTTTTTCTTTCTTTGGTTTGAAAGTAGAAAGAATGAATGTGGGGTGGAGTGAGAGATAGTTTTTTTTTTCTTTTTTTTTTTCTTCTTTTTACAACTTAAAATGATTCTGCACTGCTAGATGACTCTTCACCTTCACCTTCTTCTTCATCACCGTCGTCATCATCATCATCCTCAGAATCTGTTAAAAGACCAATCTGTGGTGGGTTACTCGATTTCTTTAATGCAAATGGAGCTGGATCTAAAAGAGGTTGCAATTGTTGTTGTTGTCCTTGTTCTTGTTGTTCTTGTGTTTGTTGTTGTTGTTGTTGTTGTTGTTGGGGATTGTAGGGTGAATAACCCATATTTCCGTATAAATCACATGGGGATTGTCCAGGAACATCCTTTTCTTCATCCTCATGTCCTTCCTGATTGTAGTCCACTTTGCGAAGATGTGATGACATGTCCTCACGAGTATTATTCTTTACATTCTGTCCCTTGTTTCCAGTGGGTCGTACACTATCTACAATACGATCATTTTTAAAAATATGTACTTTTTTACCAACACAGATAAAAGATTTTAAATCCAGTGCTCGTGCTAATACTTTATGATTAGGTACCACAATACGGGCAATAGAACCAACAATGCGAGTAGGTCCAACCTTTACACCCATTGTCTCTCCCAAAGCCTTTGCGAGAATCAATGGTATATTTCCAAAATCACGTGGTGGAAGTGGATAAACAAGAATAGATGGAGGTTGATTAGCAACGACTTCTGCAGGAAGTGGGGGTGGAGGTATAGTGAGTGGATTCACAGCTGGTGCTGGAGGATTAATAACACCCAACAAGGCCAATAACTCTGCTGCCGTAGGAGGTGCAGATGCCGATGGCTGAGGAACTGTCCCAAGAGAAGAGACATCTGCAGAAGGATCATTAAGAATACCACCAGTACCAGAATATCCAGCTACATTCATAGTAGTATTTGTTGTTGTTGTTATTGTTGCTGTTTCTTGTATATTCATTCCATGTGGGTCTGTTAAACTTGATGGCATTCCTGTTTGGTTTTGTAATGTTGAAGTATCTCCCTTCATAGCTAATAATCGTTCCATAAGTGTCTGTGCACTTCCACCACTTACAGCAGTAGAATCTCCTCCAGTAGTAAATGCATTTGAGGCGACAACAGGTCCCTTATCAAATGTAAAACTTCCAATAGAGGCAGTGGGATCTATAACAGGTTTATTTCCAGTAGAATTCTCTATAGGATTCTGAGAAACAATACCTGTAGAAGGATTTTCAAGAATTCCTGGTTGAGAAAAGAAGGAAGATGTTGAAGGTGTATTTCCTGTAGTTCCAGTTACAGATGAATTACCTGTTGCTCGGGTATCATGTGTTTTAAATAAACTTGGTGGTTTCGTTGCATGTTCAGCTGCTGTTTCTACCTGCATTCCATAAGAAGCCATATATTCCTCTGCATTCACTTCTTGAAATTGATAAGGTGCTGTACCACTATGTATATCTTCTCCAGTTGTTTTATTATCATAGGATGCATTACCGTAAGGTGTTCCTTTTGTTTCTGCAGATGTAGATGTTGTTTCTGCACCATTCCAACCAATTTCACGTTGAACTTCTTCTTCAAGTTCTATAAGAAATTTTTCTAACTCTTCCAAGTCATCTCCAAGTACTTCCAAATCAGGGGCTTCACGACGTAGAATATGAAGATAATAACCATGGAACTCATGTTCAGGATGAAGAAAAGCAAAAAGATCAGGATAAGTTTCTAAAAACATTGCTTCTCTTTCACGAGAATGAGCTTTAGCGATACTTTGAGCTACACTTAAGATACTCTTATCCATTACAGGATCAGGCATTCTACCAATATAAGCAGTAGATTGTTTCATATTAGGATCCAAGTTAGAACCTAAAGAACCATCACCTGCAAATCCACTTCCAGAGAAAGAAGATTTTATAGTCATATCTTGATGTTTTTTCTTTGTTGGTACTATAGTTGCTGGTCGTCCAGGATTTAAACTATATTGATAATAGGGACATAAAATATCATGACTATTCTTTACATCTTCTTTATCTAAAGAACTACTTAATCGATTTGCACGTTCCTCACGAAGCCAATCATGTGCATGACGTGTTCGTTTAGACCACCATTCCCAAGCTTCTTTTAATCCAAGTGAAGTATCATCTTCCATTTTAACAGGCCATGATTTATCACATAATAATGCTTTAAGTCGACGATAACATTCTTTACGCATTTGTTGTAACCATTTTGCTGTTGTTGAACGCATACTAAAAGAGATGGTATCATCTACTTGTAGAATTAAAGGTGTAGACTGAATCGTATCATATGGTTTTACTCCTATGGAAACAGGAGGAAGTTGAGCCGGTGGTGGAAGACGTCTCGCACTTTTAGTTTGTCTCCATGCATTTGTTAAAACAGAGGTCCAACCACGACAGCGAGTTGCTGGTGGTTTAGGCCATTCTTTATATTCTCCACATACCATAACTACAGCATCCATACAAAGTGGAATAGCCTCTGATAAGATGTAAATATTTTTTTCGGTGAGACGTGTACGATGAAGATATAAAAAAGGTTTCTCTGCATGTTGTTGATAAACTTCTTCCACACTCATAACAGATCCATCTGCAAAGACAGAAAGTTGTATCGTCGGTTTAGAAATAGTTGTACCAGTTCCACTTCCTCCTCCTCCTCCTCCTGTTGATGTAGTGTTATTATTATTAATATTATTATTATAATTAGAAGTAGTAGTATTTACTGTTGTGGTTCTAGTTGTTTGTTGAGTCTTTCCAATTTTTTCTGTAAATCCCAAAGATGAGACTGTACCATCATAATGTGGAATCGCACAAAGTGGATAAGCTGCACAAGTAACAGAACGTAGAAAAGATTCACCTGTTAACAAGACATCCTCTGGAATATCAAGAATTTTAGATCTCACCGTAGTTACCATAGTAGAATAACTCATTTCAGAGTTATTTCCATTCCTTTCATTATCGCATGATGACTTTGAGAAAGGGAGTAAACGAAAGATACCAGTTGCCTCCAGTACACGTAATAAAGCCAATTGTTGTTCTTCTATTTGTAATAAAAGTTTTTTAGGAATATGACTTTCACTTAAAAAAGCATCTTCCATTTCTTGTGATTTCCCACGTAGTGAAAGCCACATACGGTAAGCGTTAAAAGCACTCACAACATCACTTCCAGAATCTCGTGAAAAAAATACTCGAGCTTCTTTTAAAAGTTGTTTAGTTTCAACATCTGCATCTATGGATGCAAAGATATCTCCCATCATCCACGTAGCCGCTATTACACTTGCAGGAACTACACAATCATCCAATCTAGACATCATCAATAATCGTATAATAGAAAGAGGCCATGAAAAACAAGTGGCCGCCACTCCAAGAGGTGATAATTTCGGAAATAATTCTCCATTCACATGTTCCAAGTGACCCAATCGATACATATGATGTTCAACAGCTGTAAAGATACGACGAAGTTGTTCATATCGACTAGTAGAGGCTGCTGGTACAGAGAGAAAAATAGAAGGAATTAACTGTGCTACCATAGATGATAAAGTATTATTATTATTATTATTATTATTATTATTTTCTGTACTTGTAGATGGAATAGTCACTTCACGACAACGTAAACTTTCCTCACGAGCTTGTAGTAAATGATACATTTCTACATATGCATCCCAACTCATATGAAATATAGAGTGTTGACTGAGATCCGCACTAACACGTCGGTGTTGTGTACTGTGAAGAATAGATTTTGGAATCAATTGGATTACCATAGAGACAGGGGAAGATATACCAACTTTTTCACTTTCTGAATCACTACGACGAATTCGGGCAATAGTTCGACGGTAACGAAGATCTTGTACATGACTGTATACCGTATTTAAAGTATTTGTCTCGGTGTTAACATCATAAGAGATATAAGAATTTCGTGCGCAATCTACCACAAGTCCTACCTCTAATGTTGAGGGAAGAACAGATTGTGCCATAATTGGCATAGTAACTAGAATCAATCGTTTACCTTTGTTTTTTTCGTTGTTGTTATTATTATTATTATTATTATTATTATTATTATTATTATTATTTAAGATAGAGCGTAACTCTTCAGAGGTAACATCACTATGAATTGTACGAACTATAAATGGCTGTAATAAAGATCCTTCTTCCGCTTCTTCATTCACTGTATTTTCATCTATACCATGGGATAACGCTTCGGCAACAATTTTTAATGTCATTGCATTAGGAACAACAACAACGACACTAGATAAAGGTCTTTCTTGTTGTTGTTGTTCTTCTTCTTCTTCTTTTTCTTTTCCTTTGGCTACCAACTCTTTACGTTCCGCCTGATCATATTCTTTAACAGCATTTACAATAATAGGACACCAGTAAGAACGAAGTTTTCCTTCATTTGTAAAATCAGCATCTTCAGCTGCCATTATTTTTGCCCTTACCCCAATATTTTCCTCATAGTGACGGAGATCCTCTACAGGATCTCTACAGAGAAAACTACCCTCCCCTTCACACTTGGCAAGCCACTGAATAGTTTCTTCAAGATGTAATACACATGGAGGAGACCAAATTGTACTAACATGATGAGAATCCACACCAGTCGTCTTAAGATCCTGTTGTAAGACTTGCTGCAAATTTACACGTGCTGTGCAATCATCACCGAAGAATTCTGATATCATAGTGGCAAGACTATCTTCAAGACAATCCATCACAATATGTAATTCACCACCACGTTTTTCAACTCCATGTTCTTCCTTTTGTAAACGTATTATACTACGAAGAAGGGACATACAGAGTTCCGTTATGGGTGAACGTAGATGCATATCATTTATAATAACACATCCAGTATTAAGTAGTAATGGATCACATAGTAACTGTCGCACAAGCATATCCGGTGTAGTTACCGCTATTAATGTTCCTTCTACCACGTCATATTGTGTTGAAGTACACACTGCAACAGTTGTAGATGTAGGATGTTCACCACGTTCCTCGCGTAGTCTTTCTGCAGTACGACAGGCCGACAAATTTGTTGAACAAACAACTATCAAACGTTTACTCTTAAATATTTCTGTTTCTGATATAATCTGAGGTAACTGTAGAGTACGACCACTACCAGGTGGAGCTACCACAGTAAGTACATAACTATTTAACAAGGCATCTAAAAGAGGTCCACGACATTGATAAATAGGTAGACGTTGTCGGTAAGGCAACCACTTTCGTCTATGCAGAAGAACTTTACTCATAGGCATACGAACCACAAGTTTAGGATTAAACAATTTCATTGGGGTCAGTTTATGCACAGATTGTTGTTGTTTCTCGGCTTCTCCTCCCATGGCGAGTACAGCCGCCGCATCCAGAAAGCCTCCACCAATGAAACTCGCATTCGGCGCTGTTGGCGGTGGAGAAGTTTGATTGAGTTGATCCTCCCATCGTCGCACTTCGGCCTCTGTGAGAGGGACGTCCATCGTGAAGGTGTACTTTTTGCTGCCGGCATTTCGGTCCTGAAGAGTTTTTGTGAATACTTCCGCGAGGGGTTTCTGCAGATGTTGGGGGACCTCCGGTGGGGTGGGGAAACACTCCGCCGCAACAGCAGCAGTGAGAGCGGCAGTCATTGTGGAAAAGAAAAAAAAAAAAAAAAAA